CCGTCCCGTCTTCTCTGTCCCCTCCGGCAGATGCTGGAAGAGCAGCAGCCATATACCGAGGAGGAGTTGTTGGAGTTCGAGAGGCACATCTCTCAGACAGAAGACGAGCTGAACCGGAAGAGAGACGAGCTGGACCGGCAACACGAGGAGCTGCAGAAGCAGCACCAGCACATCCAGGCCCAACGTCAGGAGCTGCAGCAGGTAACCCTGAGCCCGCCGGCCAACCAATGCCGCATAGAGTTCTATCTGTATGGAGGCCGTGGATGGGCTGAGACACCAATACAGGTCCAACAGATCAAACATGGCCGACCCACTGCTGCCATCCAATGCTTGAGGACTGTCTGTGCTGCCCTGTCACCCTGTCAGATGTTCTATCAGACGGACTCAGACAACACAGACAGTTCTTATTACCACCACCTGTGATATGGACTCTCTATATACTCCTGTATACCGGCTGCAGTATATTGTCTGAGATAAATCCAATCTGATCTATTTCCGGCTGCAGGTGGTACAACAGATGGAGCAGAAGAAGCAGCAATCTCCTCCCCCCTCCGTCCCGGAGCCCGCCTCCAAGTACCAGCCAGGTAATGTCCATCACCATCCACCTGGAAGGATTGAGGTGGAGAGACTGCCCCTGGTGCCAATACCAGGAACTGCAGAGTTCCCGGGTCTGTACACCCGCTGTGCCCATTATGAGGGGCTCCCACCATCCCTGTGCTGAGTTCCCGGGTCTGTACACCCGCTGTGCCCATTATGAGGGGCCCCCACCATCCCTGTGCTGAGTTCCTGGGTCTGTACACCCGCTGTGCCCATTATGAGGGGCCCCCACCATCCCTGTGCTGAGTTCCCGGGTCTGTACCCCCGCTGTGCCCATTATGAGGGGCCCCCACCATCCCTGTGCTGAGTTCCCGGGTCTGTACCCCCGCTGTGCCCATTATGAGGGGCCCCCACCATCCCTGTGCTGAGTTCCCGGGTCTGTACACCCGCTGTGCCCATTATGAGGGGCTCCCACCATCCCTGTGCTGAGTTCCCGGGTCTGTACACCCGCTGTGCCCATTATGAGGGGCTCCCACCATCCCTGTGCTGAGTTCCCGGGTCTGTACACCCGCTGTGCCCATTATGAGGGGCTCCCACCATCCCTGTGCTGAGTTCCCGGGTCTGTACACCCGCTGTGCCCATTATGAGGGGCTCCCACCATCCCTGTGCTGAGTTCCCGGGTCTGTACACCCGCTGTGCCCATTATGAGGGGCTCCCACCATCCCTGTGCTGAGTTCCCGGGTCTGTACACCCGCTGTGCCCATTATGAGGGGCTCCCACCATCCCTGTGCTGAGTTCCCGGGTCTGTACACCCGCTGTGCCCATTATGAGGGGCTCCCACCATCCCTGTGCTGAGTTCCCGGGTCTGTACACCCGCTGTGCCCATTATGAGGGGCTCCCACCATCCCTGTGCTGAGTTCCCGGGTCTGTACACCCGCTGTGCCCATTATGAGGGGCTCCCACCATCCCTGTGCTGAGTTCCCGGGTCTGTACACCCGCTGTGCCCATTATGAGGGGCTCCCACCATCCCTGTGCTGAGTTCCCGGGTCTGTACACCCGCTGTGCCCATTATGAGGGGCTCCCACCATCCCTGTGCTGAGTTCCCGGGTCTGTACACCCGCTGTGCCCATTATGAGGGGCTCCCACCATCCCTGTGCTGAGTTCCCGGGTCTGTACACCCGCTGTGCCCATTATGAGGGGCTCCCACCATCCCTGTGCTGAGTTCCCGGGTCTGTACACCCGCTGTGCCCATTATGAGGGGCTCCCACCATCCCTGTGCTGAGTTCCCGGGTCTGTACACCCGCTGTGCCCATTATGAGGGGCTCCCACCATCCCTGTGCTGAGTTCCCGGGTCTGTACCCCCGCTGTACCCATTATGAGGGGCCCCCACCATCCCTGTGCTGAGTTCCCGGGTCTGTACCCCCGCTGTACCCATTATGAGGGGCCCCCACCATCCCTGTGCTGAGTTCCCGGGTCTGTACCCCCGCTGTACCCATTATGAGGGGCTCCCACCATCCCTGTGCTGAGTTCCCGGGTCTGTACCCCCGCTGTACCCATTATGAGGGGCCCCCACCATCCCTGTGCTGAGTTCCCGGGTCTGTACACCCGCTGTGCCCATTATGAGGGGTTCCTCCTATCCATGTTTTCAGTTATTTTACATTTTGGAAAATACAGCAGGTGAAGTGAGACTCATGTGGGGGTTACAGAAGGAAACTTCAGAGAAAGCTGGTTGCTGGGTGGACTGGCCCTCTAACATATATATTATCCTGTTGATGGGATTCTCTTTGTTTCCAGCTGTGGACCATGTTGGCCATTTAGGAGAAGTCGGGAAGTCTCAGCCACTGCCACCGGGTCATTTATCTGAAGCTGCAGTGCCGCACAGCCAGGCTGCCCCATGACACAAAGCCGGAGATAGAACTCTGTGAACGATCCTACTGAAAACGACTGCAGAGTGTGATCACCACCTGCCCGTCCACTACGCCCACCGAC